ACATGCATATATATATATATATATATATATATGTATGTGTGTGTATTATATACATATACATATATATATATATATATATATATATCTGTAGATGTATTGATAACATCCAAACCCGTGTGTCTACATATATGATACCACACTTGCTTACCCATGCACACGCATGCACACACACACACACACACACGCACGCACACGCACACGCACACGCACACACACACACACACACACACAAACAGACACACACACACACACACACACACAGACACACACACACACACACACGCACACACAGGCAACATGGAATAGGGTATACGAAGATTCGTGTATACGAAAATGACTTTACCAGAGGCCCGGCTGCATTAAAACCAGCATTAAACAATAAACTTTAATGCAGCCCGGCCCGTGGAACCAAGAACCAAGATGCCCAGGAGTCTTGAATCCTGAATCTTGGTTCCACGGGCACCGGCCGGGCTGCATTAAAATCTGCATTAAAAAATTACACGCGGCCGGTGGAACCAAGAACCAAGATGCCCAGGAGTCTTGAATCTTGGATCTTGGTTGCGCGGGCACCGGCCGGGCTGCATCAAAATCTGCATTAGAAAATTAGATTTTAGTGCACCCAAGCCCGTGGAACCAAGAACCAAGATGCCCAGGAGTCTTGAATCTTGGATCTTGTTTCCGCAGGCACTGGCTGGGCTGCATTAGAATCTGCATTAAAAAAAATTAAATTTTAATGCACCCAGGCCCGTGGAACCAAGATTCAGGATTCGAGACTCCTGGGCATCTTGGTCCTTGGATCTTGGTTCCACGGGCCGGGCTGCATTAGAATTTACTTTTTTTGAAGCAAATTTTAATGCAGCCCGGCCGGTGCCCGTGGAACCAAGATTCAGGATTCAAGACTCCTGGGCATGGGCTGCATGAAACATTAATTTTTTAGTGCTGGTTTTAATGCAGCCAATCCGCTGGAAACCATGTAAATATTTACGAAACATAGCGGTTTGCCGTTTTATGTGTCAAATGGCCACTCCTGCAGTGAAGATTAGCGAATGGATTGCTGTGCTTGACAGTTTGATCGCATGACAACAAATGTGTGATGACCCAAGCTGCAGCTAGTCAAAATCAAGTGATCTTGAACTTCCAGCTCCAGTCCTGTCCTTGTGAACAGAAAAATTACTATACAGATAGGTTTAAATATGGAACATCAGTCGGAGCCGAAGATTTGCGAATGTCCAGCTGAGTCATAGCTTGTTGAGTAACGGGTTCCCATGGTGGACATCAGGAACCTACTTGTAAACAAATGTCCTTCAAAATCCACTATAGAATACCCCTTCATCCCTTCCAGGATTTCATAGAAAATACTCAGATCGTACCATATAGAGTTTATGAAGTATATACTTTGTATAATATACCTTATGGAATACCCTGTATCTCACGAAACACCTTATAAAAATCTGTCCTATATATCCACCCTATAGAATATTTTTTATACATTACAGGTTGGGTTCCCCTGTTGATACCCTATAGACTACCCCATAGAATACCTTGTTTATCTCCTATATACCCTGTATGAGCCTTTTAGAATACCATCTGGAATACTTTACAGCATGTTTGATAAACGCCCTATGCATGATACCCCCCTTATACCTTATACATGCCCTTGAGAACCCACTTTGGGATACCCGACAAAAACCGTATAGATCAGGGTTTACGTACAGTAAATCAAAAGGAGCCCAAGCTTCTTGCAGCTTATTGAGCAACGGACATTTATGCTTGTAGAATACCTTACAGAATACCCTTTTTACAAACCGTAAAGAAATTCATGTAGAATACGGTAATGCCTTATGTCATGTTCCTATATTCCCTATACACCTTGTACACCCAAGATCGTAGAGTGCCCCCGTTGAATGTGGTTTATGTAGCAGGATTCATCTGAAGGAATTGCGGAATATAGGATTTAGAAATTCCGTGAAAATCGATGCTTATCTAGCAAAGGATACATACAGAGAACAGAGTTCTTCTGAAACACATGCTGCACATACCATATAGAATGCCTTTAAAACTATCTTTTCCACCGATTTACCCTACATACACCTTATATAATACCATCTGTAATACCCTGTGGAATACTTTGAAGAAGAACGCCTATATTTGATACATCCTGTGTACGAGGTATGCCATATGGAATACTTGTGCAGTACCATTTAGATTACCTTTTAGAATCCATTCTAGAAAACCCTAACAGTACCTTATAGATACGGGTTTTAAATATGGAAAGCCAGCCGGAGCCCAAGATCTGAAAATTTTAATTGAATTGCAGCTTTTGGGTAAGGGATTCCTATGCAGAAATCAGGAACCAGGAAAACTATCAACTATCCTTACAACTAGTTTCTAAAACAAAATAAAACACACTCTCCATGCACCTTAATGAACTTCATAAAACATACATTATAGAATACCTTCCTACATATAGGCCGCAGAATGCCTTTTGTACCATACTTTATGGAGTACGCTCTAGAATACCTTATTATAGAATGCCCTATAGAATACCATCCTTACAGAAGACCGCCTATGGAATATATCTTTTGTATACCCCAAGTATACCTCATAGAAACTCCTCCAGAATACCTTTTACGATACCGTTTACAATAGCTCATAGTATACCCTATAGATCACGGCTCAAAAAAGGAACAGGAGGAGCGCGCCGTTAAATAGCGTAGCATACAGAGGACAGTAGACAATACTTCATGGTATTGTTTTGGTTCGAACGGTGTGGTGTCGTCGTAGACAGTGAAAACTACGCAGCATATTACAGGTTAGTTCGGAGTGGAGTCGTCACGTCGTCTAGACAGTACAAGAAGAGGCTTCGAGGTAGGTCCTGGGGTCGGTGGGTAGCATATATATATATATATATATATATGCGTACATGTATACATATATACACATACATACACATCCTCTATGCCTGTATTCCTCTATTTCAATCTCTATCTCTCACCGTATCTATGCCTAAAACCCTATCTGCATCTATGTCTGTACTGGCATCTGTTCTTCATAAAACAAACATGCATCTACGTACTAAGTTGTTGCAGCTGAGATGCACGACCGTGCCTGCTGTCCGGGAAGATGACAGGTGAAGCTTGAGACAGCCATGTTGGAAAGTATTCGGGACTTGCGTGCAACTTTAGAATTATGTTAAGTATGGAAAACGGCTACAATGTCTCCTCGCGGCAACTGTCCACGTGCCAATTGGCGGAAGCTGCGACAGCAGTGAATGAGAAATTCTTTGCTGTGCTAGAGGTGCGTCGAGACTTTAAAGCATGAACACCTGAACTCGAAAGCCTATAACCCCTCATCTTAAGCTCTGAAACCTTGAACCTTAAGCTCTAAACCTAACATAGAGGAAGCTTCAAGTTTAAAACAGCAGTGGATGACAGTGTAGTTTTGCTCAACCAGGGCTTCCCAATCCAAAGCTCGCAAATCAGCGTGCAAGACTTGTCTACCCCAAACATCTAAGCCTCATACACCATTTAGATTTGTATGATGTTTGTTTTCAGCGTCACTACGAGTGCTATCGCTGTTGCAAGTCTTGTGTTTCTCCTGCTCCCGTTGTTCCTTGCCGTCCCGTTCCAGTGGGTTGCCGATGACTTTTCCTTTCCTTCTCTCGCAGCGCTCAGTCTTGAGTAGAACGCCTAGCGTAGGCCCAGCATGCGCATGGTAGGTAGTTGTTATGCGCAAGGCATCTTTCAGATGCGCAGGGCACCCCGTGCCGACAGCACAAGAGCGAGTGCACCATACACGTCCGGCCCGAAAGCTCAGCAACGCGTATGCTACAGTGGAACAAAAAGCATTAAGTCAAGGATCCCTAAAGGCATACGACATGGCAACAAAGTACACTGTACAACTAACGGTTTCTACCGGTGTTCAATGGAATCAGCACTCAGAAAGCATGAGATGAAATGAATGAAAAGCCATATCGCATCATGCAGTGCCCCCAATGGCACTCTCCTCGACTCTGCAAAGAAAGACTGCATCACAATCACGAGCATAAAGGGTTGTATCACTCAGTTTGACAGGCTTGGCAATCTTACCATTGGTATGTGCATGCCATCCAGTCTTCTTTGAGCTCGCCCAGTAACGAGCACCGAAAGGATCACCAGGTGCACCGTGCATGACCACAGACATGAGCTGATACGTTATGTTGTAAGTTGCAACACTCTCCGCATGGAAACATGGGACATGAACTGTTGTAGGTGCTTTGCCCTGGTTGATCAATCGCCACTCACCCGATGTACTGCAGAGCCACCTTGGGGAAACAACACAAAGAATATCGGGAGCCTGGACAAGTGCACAACGAACCTCATGTGTACGCCATTCTGAGAAAAGTGCACTCATGTCCAGATGGCATGTGTTCCCAAGGATTTCCGCCTGCAAGCAAATCGGTTGCCATGTGTCGCCAGCTTGGTTGCAAACGAGCGAGCCATCAGGAGCAGCCGTTCTGGCCTCCCATTGGCCTTGCATGGACTGGGCCGCAGCCTTTGGCAGGATGTATTGCAGCCAGCCTGTGATGGTGGGTGTTGTCGAGTCCCAGCCTTGAAGCCATGACCGCCACGGCAGTGAAGAGGACAACCTGAACGATGTGCCCATAGCAAGAAATGACTTAACGGCAGGAGCGAGGCGACCTGTGAGGAAGTCCACATCATATTTGTCAGCACTCAGCACCTGCCATAAGCCAAGCAAGCATGCACACCACCATGTAACCATGTCGATCATGTAAACTGAAAGCTGTAGTGAGGATCCCGGCCACCTTTAGCGCCGAAGTGCTGCCGCCATCTTTGCGATGTGCTGGGCGAGTGGTTGCAAGTTCATGCGCTCGCCGCGGATCCGAACCCCCACCAGACGAAGAGCTGCGCTGCCCGTCAAGTTGCGAAGCAGGTCGTGGGCTTGTTGTGCTCGAGTGCCCCGCATTGCCACCGACAAAATGAAGGGGAGTGTGTCCCCCGTCACCGTTTCGGTGAGCTTCCTTGTCGAGTGGAAGCGGTGAATGAGTCCTCCTTCCCTGTCAACACCAGCTGCTGCAGGTCGTGCGCAATCTGCACCATCTGAGTGTCTCCGACTGGTGGGCGGGTGGCATCCAGTTCCAATCGGCGGCTCTCCGCATTCCATTGCTGGAATGTCCAATGAAGCTCTTTCTCTCCCTGCACTTTGACCCACCCCTGGGCCTCCATCTTCTTGATTGTAGTCTCGTCTTTGGTCATCATGTCGAGGCGGGTGATCCATTCCGCAAGCAGACTTTTGATTAAGGCGACCCGAAGTGAGCTGGTAACCGTCGGCGGGGTTTTGCCCCGTCCCGTTTTCCAAGCCTGCGCCACCTGCCACAGCGGAGCCAGTAGGCCATGTGACCCGGACTCTAGATGTAACAGGAATTGCTTTTCGGTGCGAATAAGTTGCAGCTCCTCCTCCTGTTTCAAGGTCAGCCTGCATAAGGCTTCCACCAGCTGTTCCATGTTCGGCCGCGGATGCTTGTGGGGAGCACCCCAGCTGTTGGCATCCCAGCCGTTGGCATCCCAGCCGTTGTAGTCCCAGCTGCCCCAGCTGTTGTGTCCCCGGCCTCGTCCGTCGTTGTCGCGGCGTCCGCCCTTGCCTTTGCCCCCCTTCGGATGCTGCTTGTCCTTGTTCATCTCGGGCTCCTGTCGTGACCTCTTGCCTCGGTTCGGCATGTCCTGGTCCCCCGTTGCCTCCAACTCCGATGGGTCCTGAAAGTTCACCGCGCTGATCTTCGCCAGAGCCGGCAGGCAGCCGGCGAACACATCCTGAATCTCGGTGTCCAGCATGCCTGGCCATACAAAGTTTGAGGGCATACTGCTGAAGAGGAACACAGGTATGTGCGTGATCGGCCTTCTTGATGCCTTTGGCCCCACACAGGGAGCAGGGAATGGTGATCGAGCCCGTCCACTCTGCACACAAGAGCTGCGCACGAGGTTGCATGTTGCGCCAAAGCTCGCCGTGATGTCTCTGCATGTGTGTTTTGAAGCGCTGCTTGGAAATATCTGCAAGACAAACCTGACAAGTGCCACGCAAAGGTTTTATACCCTCCGCGGAAGGGTAAGGGGTACCGGCCAGGTCGGTCACATCGGCGGCCTCGGGTGGACCTCCATTCACGAGCCAAGTCATGGCCAGCTGAAATAAAGCCGGGCATGTGGCACGATGATCCCTGCCTGCTTGGTCCTTATGTCCACACCATCGGCATGTGCCCTTAATGGGCGGGAGGTTGTTCATGCACCACACGCGGACACGACCACTATGCGCCTGCCACTCGTCACGATGCACACGACCATAATGAACCTTCATGTAGTTTTCATTGGGGAGCCAGGTTCGGCACAGTGCACACCTCTCGTTGAGCTCGGTCTTGAGGTCCGGGGGCGGTAGCTGATGGAAGACCTCCGGGAAAACAATTTCATCCTCTAGGACTTTGGCTATCAACGGCGGGTGGACGTCCTCATACTCAGCTTTTGCTGTAGCCTGGCAACGGCCAAGCTCGACATGCCGCTGTAGCCCCTCCCATAATCGAAATTTGTGCCCGCAATTGATGCATTGCGGGAGGCCGTCCTTGCCGTGAAGCAGCCGGTCAAAACGTTCACCACTCGGTTTGTCCTCTCCTCGCCTGTGTGCACTGGCACGGTGCTGGCGTAGGGACGCTGCAGTTGGAAAGCATTTGCCACAGTCAGGGCAGGGCAGGTCGGCAGCAGCACCCGTTGTTGAGTCCGGCTGAACAAAATTCTGGAACTGCTGGAGAATACTTTCCTCATGTGCAAACAGGGCCGGGTCGAGTCTGACATCGTGTGGCGGGAGTTTGCCTTGGAGCTCGCGGGTCTTTTCCAAGACTCGGACCTGCCTGTGCACAAGTAGCTGCAACGGAGACTCCAGGCCGAGCCCTTCAAGAAATTGGGCGTCGGGCTCCAGGGTAAGATGGCGTGGGCTTCCCGCGATGGCCCTGAGCTGCTTGACCAATTCGACCCTGATCATGGATGCACTCTTGGCTGTGAGACCCGAAGCCGTCAACGCGTAGAAGACTGTTGGCAAGATGTAGGCTTTCCATAGGCGGATCCTTTTATGTAGGGGCCAGGCACGCTTAGAGTGCAGATGTTGTCGTTGCCGATGACTCAGCTTGAGGGTGGCGATGGGCCTGATTTCAAGTATATGATCCAGCTGCTGTTGGTTGTGGTGGTGACTGTTGCCGGTGTGGTGGCAGGGGCGGCGTTGGTGCTGGTGCTGGTGCTGTGAGGGTGGTAGGGATGAGGTGGAGATGGCGGGGATGGTGTTGCTTGGGGTGGAGGTGGGGCTGGTCGGCGTGGTCGTGCTTAGCATCATGAGCAGCAGTATCATCATGGTTGTGATCTGCGCCGTCCATAAGTACATTATCATCATCATAGTACATCGCCATGAGCAGCTTTTTCAGTCATATCAGTACCCACACCGCCACTGCCATCTCCGTAGTGCCCATCACCCTCATCAATAGTCACTGTCATAGTCATCGTCATCAACTTGATCATGTGCACAATCATCATCCCCAACCCGCAAATCTTGTCGAACATTACCGTCATCGAGATCCAGGTCTCCCCGCCATGACCATCTCTACCGTGCTGATCATCATGGCCATCATCAGCATCAGCAGCAGAATCATCAACATCATCATAAACACCACCACATTTCCTACCACGACTGTGCGTGTTGTTTTAGAGTCGTTTACGCCCTGGGCCAGGGTAGGAAGAAAAGTGCTTATCTCCGACCTACACCCAACATTTCTCACACAGTGCTGTCGCTGCCGACAACGATCCCAGTCGAGCCCATGGTCGACGTGTTGCGTGTAAGCCGTCACAGTTTAGAAAGAGCCTGTTCATGACAGGAAACACAGTCTGCGCGATGGGAATATGATTGAGCAGAATATGACTAGCTTGAGAAGTTGAAATATAGCACTCGTACAATCACACGACATGATATGATATAGTAATTATATGTACTGCACTTGCATTCCTAGCCCACAAACCATGGTTCCTCTTTGAAACCTGTTGTGAAGGCATGTGACGTGGTCCCGTTGGTGTCAATAGCGGATGCCAGAAGCTAGTTACAGGGCAAGATAGTCCTGGTGGCAGGCTGTGGGGTGATGGCCGAGAGGTGCAAAACTTTCAGTGATTGCGATAAAGAGATCAACTTGGATAATCTAGTTCCTGACCCACATATAGATCACATGGAGTAGCATCCCATTATGAATGATTACCCTCAAGGCAGAGCCACGCACTCAAATCTTCATCTTGCCAAAGTGTTACAGGGGTGTCGTATCCGCCTTATGCTCTGATTAAGAATAATAAACACACCGGCTCATTCCAACAAACCCCTTCGGTCGTCCTTGTGAATGATGGCCCACTGCATGCCTGCAGGGTTTCTTCGCCCATGTTTCACTGCGCGACTTCTGTCGCACGATTGGTGGCCCTGTACGGGCACACGGCAGAAGAACGACATAAACCCCCATCGATCTGATGGTGCAGATGAGGGTTTGGGGTTTAGGGTTCAGGGCATGAGTAGTAAAACATGCTGTTCCTTACGTCTCCCTGTCATAACCACAGTCTATTCTATCATACAGGCCCCAAATCAAAACCCTCACAATCTCTGGAAGGAACCATTGGTGGAGACCCTATTCTGTTTATCAAGACCCTTGACCTTAACGAATCCTAAACCTGGCCCCTGTATTCCCAAAGAGCTCTTCGAGATTCCCTAAGTCCCGCAGCCCCAGCACCTTCTGCGAAGCCGCGGATGTAATTTAGGGCTGAGGGATTAGGGTTTGGCCCTAGGGCCTTTAAGGTTGCTAAGGCCTGGAGTTTAGGGTTTAGAATTTTTTTCATTTTTAGATGCCCCAGCGAAGTTCCAAGCGTTCTCGGAAGGGGAGTTTCATGTCGAGCTGCTCCGAGCGAGCTGCCTGACCCATTTTTCATTTGGCGCTGCTTGTCTTGTCTCGCCCTTGTTGATGCTAGCTGCTATTCTTGTGTTTGGTGGTGAGCTGTGTGTACTGGTGAAAGTCCAGGTTGGGGGCGCCACACCGTAGGCTGCTGCCTTGATTGTCGTTTTGATCCGCAAAGCCAGGGTGAAACCCACCGAGAAGAGCCCGCTGAAGATCTTCAGGTTCTCTTTAATGACACCCTAAACCCTAAACCCTGAACCGAAGATCTAGGGTTTAGGATTTCTGGTTCAGGGCCTAGGTTGTAGGGTTTGGAGCTGAAGGCTTGGGTGACTGAAGTTGAACAAGGTTTACGCGAGCAGTCGGCATTCCCTTCAACCAATGTGGCGGAAAACTGTGTTGTAGACGCACACATGACTTGCTTTATCGGCGAAATCGGTGAAATGCCTTGGCACCGGTTCCATTATCAAGTGTGTTGTTATAAAGGTCTATACCAGCGACGAGTCCAAGAGCCCGTTGCAGCAGTGGCAAGTGCAGCCTTAAAGTAACGGCAAATGCATTCCGGGATCATCTCGCGCTTTGAGCTTCAAAGGTGGCCCTGAAATCCCGACAAGTTTTGGGGTTTATGTTGGGTTCATGCTGTGACTTAACCATGAGATCCCAACAAGTAGATGTCCGTCACTGCAAGCATACGAACGAAAGCTCTCCCATCCGATGCCTCCTCCTCAACGACTTTCTAAACCCTCAACTCTGAGCCCTTCATGTCTGAATCCTTAAGCCTTACGCGAAAAAGTCTTGTTGTCAGAGTCAGAACCAGCCTCCACAGGTTTCAGACCTGGCTTTGTCTTGCTGCATTGGCGTTTAGGCATCAACCCCAAAGCGTCCTAAGTACCTACATATTAGCAAGCAAGGATGGTATACGCGTAGTAGGAGTTATCGGCGAGTTAGTAATATAGGGATTCCGTAGTAAGAGCTACTGGCGAAATGGTATTATCATGTATTATAGGGATTCTACAGTAGGACTATTTATCATGGGTTCTATGGCAGGATGTGTTACTATACCGGTGCTATAATAGGATTTTGTTGCAAGGAATACTTTACTAGGTATCATTCTTATAGGGGCTCTGTTGTAGGAATTAGTAATTGAGGGATTGTAGAGTACGAATGACTATGATAGGTTCTATAGCAGGAATCACGATTATGTTGGGGATTCTATAGTGAGAGCTGAGTGCCATTATGGTTTGTGTCAGTATCCCTCTTACAGGTACTTCGGACCCTTTGGGCAAGTCAACAAAACGACACTGTTGGCGTTCCTCGAGCGGCGGTTGGTGCTACTGTCTTTTATGAATACAGTGGTTTTGTTTTAAGATAGCCAGACAGGGTTTAAAAGCATGGCTTCTCGAAACCTTCTGACCCTTACTCCTCCAATCTCCAACACTACACCCATACCTGAAGCCCTAGCCCCAAAGCCCTAAACCCCTAAATCCTATGAGCCCCACCCTAAACCACAGCATTCCTAAAGCAGCTCTCAAGCTACCCCAACCCTGAGCCCCGAAACTGTAAACCCCAACCCCCGAAACCCTATACACCCTTAACCCTGAACGCCGAAACCTGAACCCTAAACTTCTAAATGTTCGTGGCATCCTCGCTCCAGCTTGTAGCCGCCTTCCACAGTCTCCTCTGGAAGCCAGGTTTGGCCGAGGGTATTCTGGGTTCTTGCTAAGGAGTTTGATTTAAGCTAGCATGAAAGGGATCTATAGTGATTCACATGATTCTTTATGGGTAGCTTAAGAGTAGATCCCTTCAAGAACCTGGTATTTATTGAAACAAACCCGAGGGCTAAGGGTTTAGGGCTTTGGGTATAATTAAAAAACCCAGAGGTTTAGGGTTGCGGGGTCCCATAGTGCTGAGATGCACCACCGCGCTGTTCGGGAAGATGACAGGTGAAGCTTGAGACAACCATGTTGGAAAGTACTTAGGCCTGTATGCAGCACTGGGACTAGAGGTGAAGGTCTAGGTCAAGGCTGCAATGTCTCCTTCGTGGCACCTGTGCACATGCTAACTGCTGGAAACGGCAAGAGCAGTGAATGAGAAATCCTTGGCTGTGCTAGGAGTACGACGAGACTTTAAAGCCCCAACTTCTAAATCCAATAGCCTACAACCCATTACCTTAGACCCTGAAGCTCTGAACTCAACCCTAACTTGAGCATAGAGGAAGATTCAAGTTGAAGCCAGCAGTGGATTCCCAATCCCACGCCCGGAAGTCAGTGTGACGGACTGTTCAATCCCAAGCCTCTGATCTAAGCCTCATGCAAAATCGGCGGCTTTCGATACCATTAATACTCTAGGACAGAGAGTAGGCCCCTATTCCCTTTTTTACGGGTTAGGTTCCCCTATAACCCCCTTTACACCAATAAGGGCACCATTGTTATTCCTGGGTTACTGTTAGGTCTAGTACTGCCCTTGCCTTGAAGCCGGGATCCCACCAAGCTGATTGGTAGAGTCAAGCCGTTGTTGTGTTGGGGTCCTTCGGTTGATGAAATAAAAATCCTGCATTACCCATGACAAGGAATATGCCATAATTCCCATAGTTTAGGGTCATTAAGGTGATGCAGGATTTACATCATCAACCGTTATGATAAGGAACCTACTATTCAGGGTACTATATTGGGGACCCCTATTCTCGGAAACTCCCATATGATGCTGATGGCTGCAATGACGCTGATGCCGGAGACGAAGCTCAGAGTTGCAATTCTTAATTTCACTCTCATGAAGAACTAGAGGCACCTGGCTGGTACGATGAAGGCTTGCAGACTGTGGACTATGATTCATAGGGACCCCTAGGTAAGGCCTATTTAAGGAAGTCCAGTCCCCTACCCCCCCCCAGCGCCCTAAGGGTCCTTATGAATGATGGTGCTGATGATGTCGATGATGTGAAAGATGGCGGGGACGATGATCATGGTGCGCATGAACATGATTAGGCCTCAGGGTTATGAGTTTAGGGTTTAGGGTTTAACATGGTCATGACCATGACAGCGACTACGACGAAGATCATGAATGCTTTGGTGATGGC